TTGTTAATAGCTAAGATACCTGAATGCATTTTTAATAATAATAATATATAATATAATATAATAATAATATTTTTAGTTAGGATGTTCAGATAGTAGTGCCGATACTTGGCATTTTCATGAGAACTACCAGGGTTGCAGCGGTTGCAGCTGGGACCTGGCTCTGGCGCTCCACCACTGTCCTGAAATCATTACTCTGTATTGTTTTAGAAAAACTGTCACATGACAATAAAACAAAAATGTATCTGTACTTGTATCTGTGAGTACAGCCAGTAAAAGAGTCCCAGACCATTGCGTTTCCTCCTCCATGTTTGATAGTTAGTGACACACACTGCCGAAATATTGTTTGGAAAAATAGCTTACTCAAGTGTGTATAAGCCCTGCATGTCTAATTCTGAGTTATCAATCCAAGACCTTCTTCCAGTTTTCAGTAGTCCGCTGGCGGTGGATTTTGGCCAGGATAATCCTCTATTGCTTATTTTGTCATATTAACAATGGCTTCCTAACAGTCGCTTAACCTGTCCAACCTACAGCTTGAGGACTTCTCTTGACAGATGAAAGTGAGACTTGCGTACATTGGCCACTGCTAAGCTGTGCTTGAAAATGTTGTCCTCTGAGGCACCTATCAAGCTACCTGTTGATTACCAAAAACTTGTTTTCTGATTCGGTTGTGGCTTTTATTCATGTCAGAGTCACTGCCTTTTGATCATGTAAGATACTGTACTCACTGACACGTTGCCTTTCTCTGCAATTTATCTAAAGGAAGACCTACACTTTTAAAGTTTACAGCCCTAAAATATTTAGATTTTTTAAGGTTGAAAGCTATTAAAGTTTTTTATAACCTACCCTATTTGCCGGCGTATAAGGCGCGTTTTTAGTCTTAAAAACATCCCCCGAAAATCGGGGGTCTTATACACCGGGTACACAATGTGCGATGGATGTGCGGTAATACTGTATGTACAGTAGCTTCGGCTACATACAGTTTACCGCGCTGAGCCAATCACGGCGAGCCATGTATTCTATTAATGAATACAAAGCCTGCCGTGATTGGCTCAGCGCGGTATACTGTATGTAGCCGAAGCTACCGTACATACAGTATTACCGCACATCCAGCGGGCTGACAGGTTAGCCTCCCTGGCGGTCTGATTATTTTATTTAAATTTTTTCGTTTTTGTTCCATTTTTTTTTTTTTACTTTTAAAATTGCCGGCGGTTCTGTTCCCCTGCAACGCGGACGCTCGTAAGGGATGGAACCCGGAACACGGAGGACACAGCGGAGATCGTGGACAAGGTAAGAGACTGTAATCCCGAGTGTGGCTCGGGGTTACCGCTTATGGTACTGACAATTAACCCCGAGCCACACTCGACGAGTATAACACAAAACCTATGTTTTAACAGAAAAATTAGGGGGGTCGTCTTATACGCCCAGTCGCCTTATACGGCAGCAAATACAGTACATTGTTTTTTAACCCCTGGTTACTGCTTACCTTTGCACCAAGTTATTCACTGGACTTGAACCACTTAAAGATCAATAAAAACTGCAAAAAATGTGTTCCAAAACCTTTGACTGGTAGAATATACACTGCCTGGCCACACAAAAGTAACTACTTAGATTTAGCTAAGCAAATAGGTAAGAGCCTCCTACTGGATAAGTGTTATGATCTAGGGCTGCTTTCAGTTGGTGATGTCTAGGTTCAGCAATGTTATGTCCTCAACAAATGAGGTCAACTGCCAACCTGAATATACCAAATGATCAGATTTTTCCATTATTTGATTTTTTTCTTCCCTGATGGCACATTGGGCATATTCCAAGATGACAATGCCAGGATCCATCGGGCTCAGATTGTGATGAGTGGTTCAGGGAGCACGAGACATAATTGTCACACATGGATTGGCCACCACAGAGTCCAGACCTTAATCTTTGGCATGTGCTGGTGAAGACGTTATGCGGTGGTCTGACTCTCCCATCATCACTACAAGATCTTGGTGAAAAATGAAATAAATGTTGTTGTGACATTGCATAAGCTTATCGAAACGATACCACAGGGAATGTGTGCCGTAACCAAAGCTAAAAGGTGGTCCCCCAAAAATGAACGCACGGTAATATTTTTGGGGTACAGGCAATATAAATACATTTACCTATAGATATTGTTTTTCCCAAATGTGGAAGGATATCCTAGTTTGTAACTGGGAAATGCATTATGTATCTCATATTCCTAAGGACACCAGACCAATTAAACTGAGAAGGGCATACATGTATGTTTCTAACGAAAGCAACATGCATTTTATAAGACTGTCCATCCCGAATCTCATGAATAATAACCAACGCAGAGATATGATAAGGAAATAAACAGACTTACCAGAAATATTCGTTCCAGTTGGTCCTGTATGTCTTTCATTCCTGGAAAAGCAGCTGCACCCTGGATCATTTCTACAAATATGCAGCCCACACCCCTGCCAAAAAGAGAGAAGAGCTGCAATAAATGCATGGATCACTGTGAATTATGCATGTCATGTGCCATCAACATACAGGCTACTCTGCAATTCCAACATACACAAACCAACTGTCAATCAGCCAACCAATTCAAACTGGAAATATGAGCACGACGTCTTCGGAAGTCTATTATTTTATGCTCGCAAATCTCCTGCAGTGAAATCAGAGCTCCATAACACCTACACTGCTGAATAGAGGAAATGAAACAAATATTCTACAGCGGAGCTGTTTGGATTTCTATAAATAACTTAATGTTATTAGCTTGTGAACTGACTGTTTATGAAGTTGAAAAGGCTGGTAATGTGCACAATGGACGACCATCAAACCATTTTTCATACACGCATTATTTCTATATTCAAATGTACAAACTCATAAAACAGCATGGAGCCATTTATTGATCACTATTAACTGATTATACTGAATCAGCAATAAACTGAATGAGCGGTTAGTAAATCTTTAGCAGTAATCAGTTGAGTTACAGTGTATGGTATGTTGGAGAAATCCTATTCATCCCATTTCATGTTCACATGACCAGTGGCGTCACAACGGGGGTGCAGCCCGCACCCGGGTGACACCATTGGAGTAGTGACGCCAAAATGACTGTCATTTTGGTGTCACCCCCTCTAAAAAGTCAGTCATGGACCGAGAGCCCAACAGTGTCAGGAGAGAGGAGGATACCCGGTGGCATACCTCATCCCACCGGGTGAATGTCCTCTCCTCTCTTTGCCCGCATCCATCACTAAGATGGCCACCAGCAGGTGTCAATTAGAAGGCCACGCATGCTCGCTGATGTCACGGCAGGGTGTCACCCGGTCTCCGCTTCCGGTGACATGTGGCCTTGGGACGCCCCCTGCACATGACCACCTTACAGTATAAATATATAGCCAAGACTTTCTTTTTCCAGTTTTACCTAGAGAAGGAAAGCGTAAATTCTGTTTTGGCTTGACATGCACTTTTACCTGGATGAGGCAAGCTGCAAATTGCCAAGTGTAATCACCTGCAGCAACTAATGTATTTATCACTGCTCTCTGAACAACCATCTGTAAATCCTAAGGGCTGGTTCACACCTAGGCAGCATCATTTGTGCGCGTTTGTATGCATGGGTTCAGCGTGTAGTTATTTGCACGTTTATGGGCGTCTGGTACATTTTTACACATGTGAAAACACGGGCACATGAAGACGCGTGTTTTGACTGGCAGTGGTTGCAGGGGGAGGATACTGATGGCAGAGGAGCCATAGGCTGCTTCTGTCATCAATCAAAGAGAGAAGGGGAGTGGCCTGCCACAGGGCTGTGTGTGTCTGTGTTGTGCCACTAAAAGTGCTTCTACTACTGCTCAAAAATGCCTAGGTGTGAACCAGGCCTAACAGCCTGGCTTTGTCTGGTTTCAATGACCCATGTCTGGTTTCAAGGACCCATGACAAGCAAGCAACCAGTGAAGTCTGAAAAAAGAGCTCCTGATTTGCACACTTGTTCCGGGTCAATGATGCAAAAAATACTGAAGCCATAGAATTGGCAAGGAAGACAGGCAACTAACAGTTTTAGAAGGAGAGTTCAGTAAGGGCACCTTAAATGTCCCACCAGTACAGATTTTCTTTAAGTTTCACAATAATTTCAAGAAGAAAATCCCACAGCTAGTTAAAATAAAAAAGTCAGACTTCGATACTCGCCTTTAATCCAGTGCAATCCACCAAGGAAAGTTCACTCCTCCACTAGATGTTACTCTCCTCCGGGTTGAATGAAACCCAGTATCATTCAGCCCACTTCCTGTGAATGAAGGCCATCATGGACATTTTTGCTTTTGCATGGGGTCACTCTTTAAAATTCATACTGGGCCCCTAAATAGGGTAAAGGTCTGGCTATGGTATGAATTTTGGAGGGGGGTCACGCATCTTAGATTCCGATCTTTTTACATTTTAGACTGGGGTGGCTCAAAATTTGCATACTTTTAAAGGGTGACTTGACTGAATAAGATTGAGAAATGTTGCATTAGAGGGAAGACGTTGAAAATCTTGAAATTGGCTTTGAATAGCACTAATTTTCATTGTTACAGCTCCAACGCAAACGAACCTTCTACAATAACAGCGCTCCGAGCTCTTGATAGCTAATTCCACAGAACAATCAGGAAAGGTAATTTGACCCAAAAGCCAAAGCAATTTTTTTTCATTTGTATATTTGGAAGAAAAAAGTTGCTTTTTAAAAAAATATTTTGACATAAGGCAAAAGGGAAAAAAAATGGCCCGCTAATCAATGGCTATGACTAAAGTAAATTGGAAAAGTAGGTGATTACATATAATGTTCCATCTGTCCTGCCTGGTTACTGGAGAGAGCGGATTGATTAAACTGCCAGTCATCATTTGCCTTCCTCAGAGGTCCATTACAGAGCCGCAGCCACAATAAATCTTCGTCAAGTGCTCGCGGAATCAGGAATGAAAACGAGTCAAGTTTTAAAAAAAATGAAGTTCCAGAACTTTCATTACCAGAAAAAAATGTGTTTAACTGGCTAGACTTACAATGGAGATACGAACAACATCTGTCGGCTAAAAACCTAATTTGCAATGAGGGAAATGCTGCGGACGAGGCCGAGGGGGACAAGTCAGGCAGTAGTAGCAGTCACTGACACCCGAACGGGAGGTATTTTGTAGGCTGCTGCAATATTTAGTCTGTCAGTAGAAACTGGAGCGTTGGAAACACTAAAGTCAATTCACTTAGATAAGTTCTTTTAAAGCTGCTACTCCAGACACAAAACAAAACTGCCACTAACATTAAAAAAATGCAAGAACCCTAAAAAATAGAGAGGTTTAATATTTAAAGTGTATGTAAACCCTAAATGTATTTTTCAGAATTTTTGGAAAAACATTTTTATGATAATGATGATGAAGATTATTGTTGTTAATAATAATGTTATTTTTTTATAATAATGTTATTTTTTTATAATAATGTTTTTTTTATAATAAAAACAATATTAGTATTAATAGTAATGTTATGTATAATAATAACAATGATAATGTTTTATTAATAATAATACAGTAATAATAATAATTATTATTATGATAATGCAGGATTTACATACAACAGTTTGTGCAGTACTTTACACAATACAGGGAGACAGTACAGGTGCAATACAATTCCATACAAGAGGATTAGAAGGACCCTGGAAATGGCTAACTGTATATAGTTTCTAAATCTTTTTTTTTCTTTTGAATCTGTTGCTCTTTGTAACCGAAGATCATACCAGTAGAAGTATTTCCTGTTGCAAGCTAACACTAAGGGTGGTGTATTTATAAAAAGAATTTGCAGAGCAATTCACACTGGGAAACTATAAGGCTGGGTTCACACCTAGGCGTATTGAATATGCGCATTTCGCGTCGCACGTTTTTACCGCGATTCGCGGTGACAAACAAGTGTTTCCGAGGGCTACTTGGCTGTATCCCAATGGAAACGCGAGACCAAAACGCCCCAAAGAAGTACATGTACTTCTTTGGGCGTAGGCCTTTCTGTAGCGCGTTCAGACGGGCTGAAATACGGAAAGGTGTGAACCATACCCGTAGAAAACAATGGGATTTTCTAGTTTGTACGTTTTGTAGAGCGTTCATAGAGCGTTGAACCCGCGACAAAACGTAAAGGTGTGAACAGGGCCTTAGACAGCCAACAGATGACTGAAGGGGTTCGAACAGCAGGTTATTACTGCTGCTAGTTATGAGGCAGTAGCTTAGGAGTGTATTTATATAAACAATTTTCACAGCCATTCGGCGTGCCAAACTGCATATAAATTTCTCCAATGGAGGCAAATATGAATGTTAGTAGCATATTCCTTTCCAGATTGATTGTAATATTTGGTGAATAATACATTATAGCCACAAGGTGGAGCTGAGGAACTTAGGAAAAAAATACTTATTTCCCATGCTGCTCAGCTCATTCGAGTGGCCATAATGTGGTATTTTCCTGATATTACATTCCACCTACAAAGAAAATAAGCTGATATGCCCCTTCAATCATCTGTCCGCTGTCTGTCTTATAGACATTTTAGGCAGCTCAATTGCTAACTGAAGGAGCGCACACAGCAGGCTAACACCCACTACAGGTTGCCTGCAGAAAACTAGAGGAGGGAGCGGAGACATGGCCAGTCACCCTGCACAAAAAGAGAGAGCAGCAGTGACCTGTCTTTATCACAGGAGGGGGCAGAGACAACACCAGTTACCCTGCACAAGGAGAGAGAGCAGCAGTGGCCGGTCTTCATCACAGGAAGCTCCTGCACAGAGGCAAAGAATAGAAGTTGCTTTGTGCTGGATTACTGCACAGATCAGGAAGAAATACACAAAAGATGCCAAGATTTAAGAAAGAATACACAGGGCTCTTGTATTTAGCTAAATACAGAACCCCTCCCTCTTGTGTTATAGAGATGAGTGTGGGGGCTCTTTAGTTTTGTAGTCCAGCAAGGGAGAACTCAATATTGACAACACCATTAGGAGTTTCAGTGCGGCAGAGGCAGAGTTGTCAACAAAAAGGAAGTTAGCAGTTTACCAGATTTCTGGCAGGATCAACTGGGGTTTCCTGTACTTGCAGCATTTTTAAAAAGGGACACTTGTAGTTTCACAGCAGCTAGGTTGTCAAGGTTGCCTACCCTTGCCATGAGGCGATGCAAGAGTCTGACAGCCCTCCCATGGGCAGATGCATGAAAGGATTGGTAGTTCCATCACAGCTTAAGGAGTTTGCCTACCCCTGGTTTACATTATCAACTGACCAATGCCAGAAAGACATTGAACCAAAGAGTCAAAAAGTCAAAACCAGAATGTTCGCCGGCATCCATGGCCAGGCTAGGTCACAGTTTACATTTAAGAGACATGGTTTTGTCAGCCCCAGAACACTTCCGGCAGCAAATGGACAGCTGTCGCCTCCGCATTCATACGCAGAGGAAGCAGCTGCTGCAGAGGGGCTCATTGTCCCAAGTGGCAACAAGCA